CCTGGGGTTCAGGTTGGGGTTGAAATGACAGGAAGGAGCAAGTAGAAGAGATTACAAAGAAACAGGGAAACTTCAGGGTGGTAGATATATTTATTTTGATTATGGTTATGGTTTCACAGGTATACCTATGTCAAAATTTATCAAACTGTGCACTTTTAATATGTGCAGTTTATTGTGTGCCAATTATATGTCATTAAAGCTGTTTTTAAAAATATCAGCCTGGATGCTGGATGGAGAATAACTTGAAAGGGGCAGAGTTGGAAGTTGAGAATCCAGTGAGATAGGGATTGCAGCAGCCCCCGTGAATAATAGCAGAGTTTTGCACTAGATGGTGACCGTGGAGTGAATAGAAACTGACAGACTAGAATATACTGTAGAGGTGGGAGGTGGAACTGGTAGAACCTACTGATGAATCAGATGTTGAGGATAGAAGAAAGGGAGGAAAAAAGGGTGATTTTTAGTTTTTTTTTTTTTTTTTTTTGCTTGAGCAGTTTAGTGTCAAGAGCAGGTTGTAGGGGTGGGGGAAAGTGTTCCATTTTAGAAATACTGAGCTTGAGATGCAGATGCAACATTGTTAGATGTCCAAGTGGAGCTATTTAATACATCCTGAAGCATATGAGTGTGGTGCTCAGGGAAGAGATATGGATTGTAAATATAAAGTTGGGAGTCATCAGCCTAGATGGTATTTAAAGCCATTGCTGTCTCTGAGGGGAAAGTGTAGATAGAGAAAGCAGCAAAGGGTTGGAACCCATGTCGGGCCATTTCTATATGTAGAGATGAGAAAAGAGACCAAGCCAGAGCAGCCAGTGAGGAGCAAGTATGCCAGGAGGGTGGGACAGTCAGAGAGATGTTTTCAGAAGGGGGGCATAGTCACATGTAGTGGATGCTGGTGAGTTAAGAATGGGTAAATGTTCACTGCCATGGTGACCTGAAGGTCCTTGGTGACAATAAGAAATTTCTGAACAGAGGCAACAGGATTAAGGTTGAAGGGAGTAGAAACAGGAACAGGAGGTGAGGCAGTCCAGATAGCAAGGCAGGACATCTATGAAGATGTATTTTGCTGGGAAGGGAGTATAGATATGGGGTAGTGATTGGAGGGTATGTGTGGGAAGGATAAGGTTTTGTATATATTGTTTTAGGGTGGGAGTTACCAGAAGATGTTTGATCCCTTAGAGAAGGAGTAACTGAAGAAGAGGAAAGAAACAATATTGTGGGGACCAAATCCTTGTGAAGAATAAAAGAAGAGAGAATCCAGAGTAAAATGAAGAGCTTGGCTTTTGAGAAGGAAGGATATTTCTTCCTCCTGTGTAAAGGTGAGGGAGAAGAAAATGAATTCAGATATAGGTGAGCTTCTAGATTAGTGGTGAGATGATAAGGAAGTCCCATTGGCTGAGGAATTGGGGGCAGGTATATCACACCATTCTGGAGAGTAGCACAGTGGACATATAGACTAAGGTACTGTCATAAGTTTGCCAGGCCCTCCTGAATGCTTGGGGTTTGTGGCCATGAATTTAAGGTAAAACTGATCAAACGGATTATGTGATTTTTTTTTTCTCTCTCCCACAACATTCAGTGACTTGACTGCAGGTTGGAGAAGTTTGATGGTTGGGTTCTTCCAGGGATTTTGCCAGCCTCTTGGAAGAAGACAAATGCAAGAATAGTTTGTAGGGTGTGGTGCAATGAGTTCCTTATGTGGCCTTTTACCTGTTTGGAAGAATAGTTTGGGAGATTTTTCCCCTAAGCTTGGAGAAGTTGTTACCTTTGCCCTAGTTCTTTGGAGAAACAATTTGGATGGAGGGTGGGACTCCAAGGTTGTTTTCTACCCTAGAGGATTTGTTACTTTTGCCCAGGGAATTCCCTGGGTTGATTGACACATCATGGGTAAGCTGTAAACAACTTGCTGGTTTGATACTTTTGCCTGGTAATTAACAAGATCGGAGTTGATTGGCATCTCATAGTTAAATGAGTATGGTGAGGGAGGCCCTGCCTAAAAATTGATGAGGCTCAGGATATATAAATGACTAGAATGCAACCAAAACCAAAAACCAAATTCACTGCTGTGGAGGTTCATAGCGACCCCTACTTGGGTGTCTGAGGCAGTATCACTATGGGAGTAGATTGCCCAACCTTCCTTCTGTGGAGTGGCTGGTGGATTTGAACCGCCAGCCTTCTGGTTAGCAGTCAGATGCCTTAGGGACTATGCCACCAGAGCTCCTGCCTAGAATGCAGAGAGGTTTAAAGAGAGACACTGGCTAAGAGCTGGGCTAGCAGAGAGGCAGAACCTTATGGGATCTGAGTGGTTCTAAAGTTGCTACACTTCACTGGCTGTGAGCTGGGCCAGTTAGTAGTGCAAAGGCTGACAACAGAGAAGCCTGATGACAGAGAATGGCAAGAGAGCTGAGCAGGCTGCTACAGTGGCTGTCAGCTGGGCCAGTTAGTGGTAGAACGCCTGATGGCAGAGAGGTCTGAGAGTCTTAACAGTAGAGAGCTACTGCTAGAAGAGCAGCAGCTGAGAGAGCTGAGTGGGACTGCTACACTGGCTATAACCTGGGCCAGTTAGCAGCTGAAAGGCCAATGTAGATAGGCCGATGGAGGGGAGTCTTGATGGCAGGGAGCCCGGTGGTAGAGAATCTGATGGCAGAGAGGCCAATGACAGAGAGGTTTTCATGGCAGAGAAGGCAACCTCCACTAGAGGAGGACAGTGGTGCTGGCTGAGAACAGTCTTAGAGCTGTTCCAGTGGAGAAGAGAGCTAGTATCTGCTCAATGAACCTTTTTGCTCTGAGAGCTTCTGGCTGGAAGTTGTCCTTCACTAAAGAAGGGAGAGATGTGCTCTCCTCTTTAGGAAACCCTCCAGACCTTCCTGATACTGATCCCAAGTTGTAGTCTATTATTTCCATAATAAACCACACACACACACACAAAACCCAAACTTGACAACCATCAAGTCGATTCTGACTCATAGCGACCTCCTTTGGGTTTTGGAAGCAGTAAATCTTTCCATAGTAGATTGCTCAGTCTTCCCTCCACTGAGTGGCTGGTGGATTTGAACTACCAACCTTCTGCTTAATGGTCAGATGCCTTAGGCACTATGCCACCAAAGTTCCTTTAATAAACCACACAACTGTAAATATTGTTTGAGTTCTCTTTGGTCATTGTAGTGTATTATTGAACCCTGCAGAGAAGTAGAGAGTTCTGTGAGGGGAACTGTTGGTGTCAGAAATGGTGAAGAAATTAGAAAGCAGCTGTATGTCTGACCTCCACTTCACAGGAACAGCTTTGTGTTGATCCTGATTCTTATCCCTCGTGAATTTAGGCATTTTATATAGGGCCATAGAACTGAAGCTAGATAAAGGAGGGACGTGAAGCTGCAGGGGTAGGGGTGGTGAGGGAAATGACAAATGGTACAGTTCAGTGGACTGTGTGTTCTGATGAGGCTGAAGAATTGAGTGGAGGATATCAGAATAAGTGTGTTGGTAGAAGTGTGGTTCTTGGAGATTATAAGTCTCTGGTGTGACATTGGGAGATGAGATGAAGGAGGAGGTTTTTGCAGGTGAGAAGGGTTAGGAACTGAGAAGCTGCATGTGCACATTTATTATTTAACTATTTGCATGTTTGTTGAAGTCCTAGAAGATGATGGTAAGAGTGAGAATGGAGGAGCAGAGAGTGAGCCGGTGAGGTGGGTAGAGGCAATAAAGGGCAATACCTGGGACATTGTAGATGACAACAACAAGGAAGTTGGCAGGGGTGTGTAGCTGGATGGCTTCAACAGCAGTGGAGAAGAAGGAAGACATTTTCCTCACTTTCCATCTCTGAAGTATGTGGGGTGTGAGGGAGAAACATCTTTCACTTCAGAGCCATGCAGGGGAGGTGAGTTCTTAGGTGAAACTGGTTTCTGTACGGCAAGAGGTAAGAGAATGTTCAGGAGAAGTTAAGTATTTAAGAGATTACACAGGAACTCGGATGGTACTGCCCTGGAGATGGGATGGATATTGCCATAGTTGGAAGAGGGTTGCTGAGAGAGTTCAGACTTCAGGTAATAATGAGAAGGCAGAGGGACCTGGTAGTCTTACACATGATTCTTAGGGGACTAATTTGTCAAAGAGAAAACAAAACAAAAAAGAATGAGGTAATCTCAGCTTTGTGTGGAGATGTTTGGGAGCAGATAGTTCTGTTCAGGAGAAGCTAGGGCCCTTAGGCATGTGGGTAGCAATCAGGCCCTGAGAGGCCCTGTGATTATCTGTCCCTACATCTATTCAGCACCTGAAGCACAAAGACTCCAGGAAAGGAGTGTTCCTCAGTCTCAAGTCTATCTGGAGGGGACTGACACTGTTAGGGAGGAGCTTAGCCCAGTATGGACTGGGGGTTCTCCTCTTTGTACTCCTTTCCACTACCAAGTACTGATCATACTTTGTCATAGATTTTTTGTTTTGTTTTGTTTTGCTTTTTACTTAAACTTTGCATTACAGAAGGCCTTGATTCTCCCTCAAATAACTCTCTATGCATCTTTTGCCTGTCTCATTGGTAAATGCTTCTTTCAGTATTTTCCTGTTCAAATTCCAGAGACAGTGTCCGATTAACCCAATTAGCCTTTTAGGTTGTTGTTGTTGTTAGGTGCCATCGAGTTGGACCCGACTCATAGCGACCCCTCCTTGGGTTTCCTAGGCAGTATCACTACAGAAGTAGATTGCCTAACCTTCCTTCCGGGGAGTGGCTGGTGGGTTTGAACTGCCAGCCTTCTGGTTAGCAGTCAACTGCCTTAGGCACTAGCTACCAGAACTATGCAAAACAGTTCCTAAGTCAGATGCCTCCCCAACTAATTGCCTATAGCTGGGGCCATTGTATAGGGTAGACCAGGCATGGTTGACATCTCTGGTATGGAGGGCAACATAGGCCAGTATCTTTTCTCATGGTAGGTGCCAGGCAGGAGCAGGCAGGCAGGGGTGATAAAGGCCTAGTGGGACTCAGGCTTGCAGTTCACTCTGCTTTTTCTTCTTGGCAGCACTGATGTCTTCATCTGCACCAGCCCCATCAGGATGTTTAAATACTGTCCTTATGAGAAGGTAAGACATAGATCTGCTCTGAGAGAAGCCTGGTGCTGGTCACTGTTAAGGAAGACTGCACTCAGAAGGCTCAGCTGTAAGGATGTGGACACTGAGTGCTGGGCTGCCGAAACAGCCTTGTCTCCCTCATACTCCCTGGCTCTTCTCCCATGTGGTCCTTCCTGTCTCCGTCCAGGGTTTCCTTCTCTGAATCTTCTTGACTGTTCATCTGAAATCCCATCACTCATTTGGAGCCTGGTTAAGATACAGGGTCTGGGAAGGGTGACCCATACACATTTTAGTAAAACATGCTTTACCAGATTAGCCATAGCCTGTGGCATAGTTCCTAAGGCATTTGACTGCTAACCAGAAGGCTGGTGGTTCAAACCCACCAGCCACTCCTCGAAAAGAAGGTTGGGCAATCTACTTCCATAGTGATACTGCCTCAGAAACCCAAGGAGGGGTTGCTATGAGTTGGATCCAACTCAATGGCAGTGAATTTCGTTTTTTGGTTTTGAGAGTTGGCTTGTTAAGGGTGAGACAAGGAGAGAAAACTTGCCTGTAGAGGGGTTAGAAGCAACCCAAACCCAAATATAAAGCATATGAATTTATTTACATGAATAATCTAACAAAGGTAAAACAAGTAAATCACATTTTGCTATGCACCAGTTTTATTGTGTTTATTGCACAGAAGTGGTATTGTGTGCATTTAAAATTTTCTGGAAATTGGGAATCTGAGGTTGCTAAACCAGAGCAAAGATCTTTTGTCCAGGAGGGGACATTCATACTAGAGGTGGACTCAGGGGCCTTGACTCTCTCTTGTTTTGGGGTTTCTGAGCAGCTCTGTGTGATTCCAGGAGTATGGGGTTTGAGCCCAGACCCTTGCCTGCTCTGGGAACTCTGTGCATATCTGTATGCCCGAGTTCTTTGTAAGGTCTCCACACTGCCTTTCCTCTCTCTGACTTCATACTAGAAATAACATGTGCATGCTCTGCTGACAGTGAGTGCCTTCTGTGTGCTTTAAATGGAAAGGGAATTCACATTTACTGAGCTTTTATGATGACATTATGTGAGGCACTTGATGCCCACCATTCCATTGCATCTTCACCATACCCCGTTAGGGAGTTATGCTTACTCCCATTTGACATGTAAGGAACTTGGGAAAGTTAAGTGATTTTTACTCATAGTTAGTGAATAAGGAGTTAGGTTTAGAAGCCATGTCTGCTATTTCTAGTAGAGCAGTGGTCCCCAAAGTGTGGTCCCTCAACCAGCAGGGGCAGCATCACCTGGAAACTTGTTAGAAATGCACATTTTCTGGCCCTACCTCAGACCTTCTGAATCAGAAACCGTGGGATAGCAACCTGTGTATGTTTCATTTTATTGTGGTAAAAAGTATATATATAAAAGTTGCCATTTTAACCATTTTAAATGTACAATTCAGTGACGTTAATTTCTTTCACCATGTGTATTATCATCATCACTGTCAGCAGTCTGTTTTAACAAGCCTGCCAGGTGATTCTGATTTATCCTTAAGTTTGAGAACCAGTGGACTGGAGTGAGTATTTCAACTGTAGTATCCAGGATAGAAAGAGCCCTGGTGGCACAATGGTTAGGTGCTCGGCTGCTAACGAATCCACCCAAGTGGTTCTGTGGGAGAAAGACTTGGTGATCTCCTTCCATAAAAATTACAGCCAATAAAACCTTATGAGGAAGTTCTACTCTGTCACATAGGATTGCTTTGAGTTGAAATCTACTTGATGGCACCAATAGCAGTCAGGATGG